GGTTGACCCGAGCCTTCACCGCCTGATCCACACTGCCATCAGCTGCCAGATCGCTCCCAAGGTAGCGGAAGTCCTCCACTCTTTCGATGGTCTCACCATGGCCGTCTACGATCGGCTCTGCACCCTCTTCGGAGCTCAGGAACTTGGTCTTCTTGACATTCAACCGGAGCCCGCCTTCTGCCAGGACATTCTGCCATCTCTGCACCTTGGCTTGAAGTGCCTCCCTGCTATCCGCTATCAGAGCTATGTCGTCAGCGTAGAGGATGGTCTTCAGTGGTCCTTCCATGAGGCCCTTCACCATGGTATCGAGCGTTAGGAGGAACAGGAAGGGGCTCAGAGCTGACCCTTGATGCACCCCAACCGTGATGTTTATCTCCTTTGTTAGGCCGTGAGGGGTGCGTATGGCTGCTTTGGCTCCTTCGTACATGTCCTTCACCAGGGAGATCAGGTGTTCTGGCACGTTTCGTTCCCTGAGCGACCTCCACAGCACTGCTCGCGGTAGCCGGTCGAACGCCTTCTCCAGGTCGAGGAAGGCTAGGTAGCAGGGTCGGCGCTTCTCTCGATACTTCTCCATCACTTGCCTTGCGATGAAGATGGCATCATTGTATCGTATAATACAGAACAAAAGATAAATGAAGATGATCCGTTGTAGATCTTTCGGGCATGAACCCGAACTGTTCCTGGGAGATCGGGACCAGCTCCCGCAGCTTCTTATCGACCAGCCGCTCGTACAACTTCATGGTATGCGCAGTCAACTTGATCCCGCGGTAGTTGGAGCAGTCCATTGCGTCGCCCTTCTGTTTGAAGATGGGGACGATGGTACTTGTCCTCCATGCATCCGGCATCTTTCCTTCCACTGTTACCTTGTTCAGGAAGCTGGTGAGCCACCTTAACCTCATCTTAGTCCAGAGTGCGATGGGACCAGCTGTGGCCTCTGCCGTGAGTCGTTCTTGTGGGGGAACTCCTCGTTCAGAAGCCCCGTGAAGTACTCTTCCCACCTCCTCTTGACTTCGGCTGGCTTTCTTAGGATGACACCATCGCTGCCTTTTACACTTTTCACCACCCTGATGTCTTGAGTAGCGCGATGGCGGGCCTTAGCCAGCCTGAAGACGAACTTCTCTGCGTTTCTGCTTTCCAACTTCGTACAAGGCGTCCATTTCATATGGTGACACAGCAGCCTTAGCGAGCTTCTTGCAACTCCTGTAGGTGCGAGGTCTTCGGGCTCCGGGTCTTCTGCCAGCGCTTGTATGCTTCCTTCTTCTGCTTCACGACTCGCTGGACCTCCTCGTTCCAGAACCACGCTGCCTTGTCTCCTCTGAATCCACCTCGCGTCTCGCCCAGGACCTCCTTGGCACATCGCAGGATGGTATCAGCCGCGCTGCCCCAAGTCCGCTGTATTGGCCCGTTAGGATCTGGGAGACCGACTTCCATTATCTTCGCCTGAGGTCATCCTTCTCCGCTTGGTGCAGCTTCCACCACCGGATTCTCCTCTCGGTTCTTACCCTTGTCTTCTTGGGGAGGTCTATCGCAATGTCTGCCAGGAGGGGCCTGTGCTGGGGAGCCAGATCTTCGCCGGGTAGAACTTTGATATCCTTCACAGTTTTGAGGGTTGATCTTCTTACCAGCACATGGTCGATTTCCGTCTGTCTCCCTCCGCTGCTGTAGGTTACCTTCTTGTGATTCCTTTTCGCGAAGAACGTGCTGCAGACTGCTTCTTTGGAGAGCACAACGATCAGTGAGCAAAATGCTCGTAATTCCAGAACAACGTACCGTACTTCATTAGGGTCTTTTGAAAGACCTTCGAGTTAACTCCAACATTTGTGGAAGACGACTTTCAATGGAGCTGCACTTTTGGATGTTGAATCATAAACATCCTCCATCTAAAAACCACACGGCAGTAATAGTCTTTGTAGACAAACGTCAATCTCTCACTTTTCGGCAACAACTGCCTCTGACTCTGGTGGTCGCACAGAAGTTTAATTCGAAAATTTTCTCATCAACCCAATCCGTAATCGAGATGCAGCGCACTTCGAGCACGCGCCGAAATCTATTGCATCACCATTTGTAATCTCTTCGGGTTCCTCACACGATAGAAAAACTAGCACAAACCCTTCAAATAATATCGTTTCTAAGATTTTCTAAGGAAGTGAAACGCAGATCCTGAGATCAGAAGCAATGTGACTCACGCTAAGTTCATCGTTGTGAGCCATCCTCTTCTAGGTGATTGCCCCAATCCTTGATTGTGCACAGTTCTTAAACAAACACTATTCGCAATCGCTGAAGACGTGTGCTGGAACTTAACAGCACAAAGCGTAGTTTTCAAATTGGAAAGGAAAACCGAGTTGCTTATGAAGTTACAATTTCTGAGATCGTCAATGCGCCTCGTCGTGAGGGTCGATGCAAAATTTTCTGCGAGAAGTTCAGACGAAACTTTGGACCGGAACAACTTATGGGCGTTCTCAATGTTTCTAAGTCTTTCGAAGAGCTTCAAACACTTTGAAAGATCATGCCGCCAGCAAGCGGTCAAAGCCGCATCCTACTTTTTCGGCCACTCTGTATAAAGAGCTGGCTTGGAATTGTCGCTTTGGTCGGTCTTTGCTGAAAATTTTTGCTCAAGGGCGTCCAGTTTCTTAAGTATTAAATTCTGAGATTCCTGCAGTTTTACAAATAGTTCAGAACATGCGGTCAAAACTCTCGAAATATTGGTCCCATCTTTCCAAGATGGGTTGGAGCCAAGACGGCGCTGTATCAGTCGGGTTCTTCTTCGGAGGCATGAGTTCGGGAGCAGAAGAGACCAACCGCACGTGATGAGGCCACCAGGCCAAGCTAATCAACAAAGCTCAAATAGAGCAGTCTATTGGGTGAGAATTCGGAATGTAAGTAGACCACGAATGCATCGCCAGAAAACAGCCGATAGTGGTCTCGGTCCATTGTAATGGTCCATGAGCCCCTCATGCAGAAAGAAGGGATTGTTATGGTTCTGCTCCCAGGAGACCATTGCTTTCTTAAAAGTATCTTCCCGAAAAAAGTTTCCACTGACTTCCGCTCATTTATGTATAAAGGCCTGTGGAGACTTGCCCGAAGCACGGATCGGACCCAGCTGGTCCAAGTTTCACGAGAACGGGATTCTTGAGGGTATTTCATTTTACGGAAATTTACTGACAATGAGAGCTGGTATAGAATGTTAAAGGTGATTCTGAGTTTTGAGGCACCCAAACAATGAACTTTTATTTGTGAAACCCAGGGCGTCTGAAGATCGCCGCACCTCGCCTGTTTTGCCGCCTATTCTCCAATCGAACGCTTTAGCCCGATTCTTTTGGTGCGACGATTGATCCGTGGCCGCCTCAGGCACTTCTTTCCATGCTCCGCCATTTGGCGCCGCGCGACCTACCTTCGATCATCCATAAAGTGGGGTTTTCGTAAGTTTTCTCTTGGGAAACTGAATCTTCGTGGCGAAGTTTGTATTTTAACTCTGGTGGTCAAAACTGACATATTGTGCTGGGAGAAACTGCAACAATTTCCCGGAAAGGATTCCTTTAACTTATTCTAGGTCTTCAGAAAACATTCAAGCTTTATTTAGAACCGATACACTAAAACGAGTTCTACGCATGGAATATTGTATATACACTCTCTACTCGCTAAAAATACATTTATATTACAATCGTCAATGCCGAACCGGTAAAGTGGAAAAATCCAAAGTGAAATTAGAGTGATGATAACGTCGAGGAGATGTGGAAGGTGATCGTTCTAAGTGAAGACTGTCCAAGGCTCTGGGAGATCCGTGGGTGTATTATCGCTGCATGACCGAAATTCGCTGCTTGTTTATTGCTAAGGATCGATATTAGGGGTGAATTGCCAATAAGGGGTAAGGCTACTTGGTTTGAGATTTCACTGACGAAAAGTGGACGGATCGTCGATTTGGAAGAACGGAGCTTCGTGTTTCTTTGGGAAGTCGTCCTGAGCAACAACCACGTCGGCCTGAAAATGTTATTTTGAGATTCCCGAACAGCAATTACCAAATTTAATAATGACATATGGTAGTTATTTCTAGGTAGGAGAGAATCAATGAAATACGACTGAATAAATAAAGTAGGGTCCGATGAATTAAAAACTTTGCTCTATCGAACGAGAGAGCGAACAAATTCTATTTCTTATATATTTATCATTGGTAGGGATGGAAGTGGTGTAGTGGCAAGTGGCGCGCTTACCACGCGAGCGGTCCGGGGATCAAATCCTGGGTCGTGAGTCGCCCGGGCCAACCAAGCCTTCCATCCCTCCGGGGTCGGTTAATTGGTACCAGACTTGTCTGGGAGGATAAAAACACTGACTTGTACATCGGCTGGCCCCCGCAAGTCATTGTATAGGCCACATCGCATTCAAATGCCACTGCGAATGTACAAATGGAAGTAGAATGCGTGCCGCATCCCAAAAGGGATTGATCAACGGCAAATGCTTTATCCTTTATGCTTTTTATTCTTGTAAAGGAAGAAGAAAAACAAACAAACAACGTCATCTTATCATACTAAACCGCTCCATACAACTGACAGAATCGAACTCCAATTCTTCCTTCATGGGCGTGTCGAAAACACATAAATGCGAAACAAGGATCACATCTGCATTACAGAATAAGTAGTACAGACCTCGTAGATAACAGAATTAACTACGTTTGGATCTTAACGCCACATAACAAGTTTTTTAACACGACTCCGGGTCCAAAATTCTCGGACCAGGGCGCGTACGATTCGCGTACAACAACGGCGCTCGTTACAGATTCTATCGACATCAGCATTAAGCTGTCTAAATCTCTCAAAAGAGTGGAGACAATTGATCTGTAGTATTCGTCAAAACTGATCGCATTACGCAAGTCTAAAGCTCCTGAAAGAGTGGGTCAGCAGAGTTTTTTTCATATCTCCAATAGAAGTCTGTAGCCCTCACGATCTGCGTAAAATTCAATTTCCGTTCCCAGCAAATCGTTCGTTAACATTACACTAATTTAATGCATAACAGAACATAGTTCCACTTCTCATACATTACATATCAAGGAGTTTTCATTGAGGCGAAAGGTTGGAGCGCGCAGCGAAACTCGAAGCGGCTAGCTGTGCGGTTGCCTTGAAAGGTTTAAATATATGGATCCGCATTTTTGCTGAATGTAACTCGATCTGCTGAACATCGTAGATTTCCAGATTCTATACATCCACTTTACGCAACACTGCTGCGATGACGCAGTACTACAACAAAACACTGTGCGCAAATGACCCTGTGATCGATAAGCTGGAAAGGTAGATAGAAGGACAGAGTGTTTTTTCGCATACTAACCTTGGCAGAGCACGTGTACTGGAAAGGTTTTAGATACAGCTAGACTCGGAAATGGTAAGAATTACATTAGCGTGAAAGAGTCTTCATTTCGTATCTGAAGAAGATATGAACTAAATGTGAATTTATTTTTTCTGAATTTTTAGAGTACGGTGAAAATTGTAGGTGCAAAAAACTAAAGGAAACGTGATAGAGGAAAAGGTAAAAAGAAATATTTGGATGATCTAATGCTTTTTTTTGGCATAGTTATAATACAGAGAAGCTGAGTTTTGTGGCATAACCTTGACCCATGATTGGACTCATTTTTATTCTGCATTTCGGACTTCTTTCTGGTCCGCGTGCCAACCAACACCTGGGCATCATTCAACCGCTCTAAACCATGTTAACATTCACTATGAACGATAAGGCTGGTCTGAAACATACCGAGTATGCCACTCTTGTCACTATAGCAGTAGAGCTACGGTCAAAGATCCTGCACAGGCCCTATCGCGCAACCAGGGTGCAACTAACGTCTTCGATTTTCACCTCTCTCGAATTCACTATCTTGACGTCTCCTTCTCACAACATTTTTCTAGCATACTGTGAGAATAGTCATCAACTAAAACACTTCGTTCATGCAAGTGTTTCGCTTTTTAATCCGTCCTCCCTTTATTAAAGCGTCACATCGTGTCTCTAACTTCATCTTGAAGCGGCATCACCAAACCATTTTCGTGAGATGTGCCTTCAAAGTTTGACCTATTCGGAAAAAAATTGAAAAGATTATTGAAAAGATTACTGGGCAAGAGTCACATAGCCGAATGGTTCCCTCTACAAGAATGGAGATAACAAGAAGACCTATTCACATGAGGCTACCTCATGAGTTCTGTAGCAAATTCCTGCAAAGTGCTATTTATTTGTAGGTGTTCCAACTACAGAAACGTACACCTGCAACTAGTCCAACAACGGGCGACGTTCGATTTTCTACATCTCGCTCTTACGGTTTTAAAGTTGCCATTCCTCAAATCGTTTTTCGCTTTAGAGGTTATCTTCATGATTGGTCAGCTTATTACTTATGTAACTTTCCAACGATTTTATGCTCTCAGTCATTGAATCGATCATACCGTCTCAGCATCACTCTGTGGATGAGCGGTCATGTCCTCGTTGGCCCTCAACGGAAGAAAATCCTTATCCCCAGTTGGTCCGGCTGACGGGTCGGCAATCATTGGTACAGCGGCTGGCTAAACACATCCAAAATAAAATCAAACGTGGTTCAATGTAAAATCACTGGCGAACTCATCTACCTTAATCAGAGAACCCAAATAATTCCCATCAACTTCTGTAGCGATTTCAATTGTTCTTCGCTTCCACAGTAACTCGTTTTTTTATAGCCCTTTTAGTGCTTTTCAGGTCTCGTCTTGTGGGTTTTGCAGAGAAAGTGGGTCGTAAGCAACTCGCTGCAGGAAACCCCATAACAACAAACTTCAGCCGAAAGCTCTTTTTTTCAAAATGATGCATGCTCATTTTTGGATTTCGACTGGGCTATAGTACGGCACTAACCCATTACCAAGACACTTGCTTTGTGATGGCATCCCTCCTGAGGATTCCTTCAGCAAAGCGATCAGAATTGGGCCAGCTGCGCTGCCTGTTTGAGAGCTTACTCCGCACAGGTAGCTTTGCGTGCAGTTACACAGCCTCGTTTCATGAACACGATGCTAAAATTCTCTTCCTTTTATGACTGCTTTGAGGGAACCAAATCAAGCATCAAGCAGGGCTGCAATTTCTTTCCGGCTCGCGCCATACGAATTTGGTCAGGTGATTAAAAGTGAAATGTGTGCTTTTTGGTCAACTAACGGTTTGTGACGGATCAGACAAAGTAAAGAAAAATTTAATTTAAGTGATTTTTATGTCCTGGGTTTTGCGCCGTCCACGAAACAACTGAATAGGAACTTCTTCCTTCGACACCACAGCCAATGATCAAAGGTAGGTTCAGCTTCAATGAAGAAGTCCCTCCGGGATAGAGGTGGTGCAAGGTCGCGTCATCTGGCGCATCCCACACTCGTCCAAGACACTTAGGCGCTTCACTACGACTTGGGTGCCTGCGCTCAGAACAATCCGCACCCGCTCATTGTTCAATACCTTATCTGCGTCGCAAAGTTGGCTTATTATGCTCTATCCGCTCGCGAAAAATCACTTCTTTTACTCTCACGTCGCTAGTCTGGCTTCTTACAAGTTCTTCGTATCAAAAAAGTCCATATCTTTGTGCTTTTGAGGATTTCATTTCCTTTCTTCTTCACTTTGGTCTACGTCGCCTCCATACTTTCGTGAGCTGGAATTGCCAGTCCGTGAATATTATAGTACGAAATTTGCTACAAGCTCACCATCGGTTCCTCGGAGGCTTCTGGTTGAGCATGCTGCCAGGCGTTTACCGCAGGAACACCGTCAACATGAGGAGGTGCTTCCGGTGCAACTTCTACAGTGCGTGGAAGTGCATCAGACACGATGTCAAGCGGCACGTTGAATTTTTCCTGCAAATGGGGTAATTTGTGGGCGGAACTTGCCATTCGTGAATTGAGCTGTTGTTGATTTGTGAACATTCAATAGCTTCTATGAGGAATAATGAAATTTTTAGAGGTCCGAAACCAACCTCTCTGGGGAAGCCATCAATGCCGTCGCTGTCGTGCCCTGCTGGCTGTTCAGGAGCAGGCTGCGGGACTACTCCTTGTCCAACGACTGCCGTATTCTCTACTACAGGAGATGACGCCGCTGTCGGATGAGGGTTGAAAGGCGCATCGACCTCAAATTCTATTGCTATCAGAAGCCACTATATGAATCAAAATTAAGTGTGTCTGTCACAATATGCATCGAATTGCCCTCAACGTTGTCAAAAATTGCGGGGGCGGGCTCCGCTGTTACCTTGTTGTTGTTTTCCCATGTCTGTTGCCATCTCTGATCGTCTCCACTCATGTACCACGGCTTCATTGCGTTCTCATTGAATGCGTTCACATTGTTGTTATTGTCGATCGGAAACGGCTGAGGCAAAATAGCAGCCTGAAGCTGCAGAAATTTCTGTGAAAATAACAGGAAAATTCGTAACAATAATAGTGCTTCAATGGGTGGTACCTGGTTTTGAACCGGGAGTGGGAACTGATTTTGGTTTGCGATGGGCTGGAAAACTGGTGGAGGTGGTGGCTGAAACTGCTCTGGTTTGTTAACAATTCAATGACACACATCACGCACAAATTTCTTTATTGATGGACCGACGTCTAAGTCAACTTTCTTTCTTCAAAAGCCACTGTCTAACCGATTGTAAGGAGACTGAGCTACCTGCTGCCTTACCTGCAGGGTAGACAGCACTTTAACGTGGGGAATCGCTAGATTAGTTAGAAACCAGACTTCTACGTCGTCCTGGTTGGAACGTGTACGCAGGTTTTAACGGCTTCCTCCATTCTCTCACTATTTTTGGTAGGAAATCAGTCACAGTCGAGTTTTGAAGCAAAATATGTTGGAGACAGCCGGAACTACCTTAACTGGTCTCACCTGCTGCTGGAACTGCTGTTGTGGCTGCGGCATCGGATTGAAGAAGTAGACCATGGGTGGAGCCTGTTGAGGCATCAGAGGCTGATCCCAATGCGGCTGATCCCACATTTGTGGCTGCATAGCCCAAGGTTGAGGCCAAGGTTGAGCTGGTGGCTGAGCCCATGGCTGAGGCCACGGCTGCTGTTGCTGCTGTTGCATCATGGCCTGCTGCTGCTGTTGTTGTTGCTGCTGCTGGAACTGCAACTGCGCCTGGGCCTG